ATACACCAGCCACCGGCGCGATCAGTGTCAAGGTGGTGCTGGAAGTCGACAATCCGGGACGATGGAGAGAAGGCCGAGGGGGTAAAACCTCTGGAGGACGAACCGGCGAGCCCGTTCCGACTAGAGAGGACGTGGAGATGGCGGCAGCTGCTGCGACCGAAGCGACTACAGAAAACCCCACGGAGGCGCAGATGGCGATATCAGCCCTGGCCGCTTGGAACCTGATGGCGACAGGCGAAACACCGGCCATGTTGCCGATGATCAGGGTAGAGGTGGGAGCCGCGTTCGGGTACCACGGGGACTGGTACACGGCCGGCAAGACCATACCCCTCACTTCGGACGGCATCGGCCACAGCAGTGCTTTGCTTTCGAGCGCGACGTTCGACTGGCAGCCCACACCAGATGTCTGGAGCAAGCTCGGCGAACCGATGGCAGCGGACGTGAGAGTTTATGGCACCGCGTCGACGCCCACGGAAGAACAGGGGGAGGGGCTGTTGTTGTTGCGAGGCACGCTATGCAAGCGAGCATCGGGCTTCGGAGACCGAAGCACGCACGACGACACAGCACAGGGCACCATGAAGGCGGCCTTGGCGCCTTACGCTGAACGCCCACCAGCGGTTGCCGCCGAAGCTGTCGCGATCAGCCCCTCCCGGCCTTCCGTGGTCGTTTCTGAAATACGAGACGGAGAGTGGTGGAGAGCCCGCGAAGAGGAGGAATCCGGGAGAGGGATGGATGCGGTAGACGCTCTGCCCCGCCTGCCCCGGTGGAAACCCGGGGATTGGAAGAAACGACGCAGGAGAAGGAAGAGACAGGAAGAGGAAAGAGAAAAACAACGAGCGCAGGAGGCCGCTCGTCGAAGAGCTGACAGACGGGGGGGTGACAGGGGACGTGACACGGACAGTCGCGACGGACGGAATCGCAGGGGTAGTGGTAGTGAGGCAAACGTCGGACGGTCACCATGGGGGGCCGTGAAAGGGGCTTGGCGTGCTGTCGGGCAAGGTTGGCGAAAAGCCCGGCGGAAATTCCGGAGAAACTGCAGTAGAGCATAGTGTTTGTCGGACAAGGTAGAAATTTGAGATATGTAGGGGGGTTGGCGACGGGTTGCTGCGGAAGTGTCCTTTTGCGACAATGGTCACAGTAGGTTGGAAGTATTGGCAGTCTGTACACCATGTTCCGTCGTCAACCGGCCTTTCCTTCGTAACGAGCACAACCTCCAATCATAACATCATCTCTTCATGTTATGTGCTCAAGAGATTATGCCCGACGTCAAGCCTACCTACCGAGATGCGCATCACGCCTAGTCATTGCTGGTTCACGTCTGATGAGCCTTCATGTATAGCTTGCGTTCACGGCCTTCGACGAGCGACGTTGCCCCCCTACCCCTTGTGCTGTTCCGGCCGTGTGGTAGGGCAGCCTGGAAGAGTGCTTGGAAATTTTCAGTAGACAACCGACCGAATGTACAGGGCACCATTTATCTCCACCTGTGCGCAGAACAAAGCCCATACTGTATGTCACTAGGGTATATTGTTGCTTGTTCCCCTTGGCCAAAACATATAAGGTACATATTGTATGACTAGGGTACAGTAAGAGTCGGAGAGTTGGCACCGGGTGCGATCGTTTTTGTTAATGTTTTTTCCTCGGGTTTTTTGTCGCACCCAGGTGCCATCTCTCCGACCCCGGTGCGGAAATGCAATTAAATCATTTTTCGTTTAGAATTTCAAGGCACCCCGGTGCGATCTCTCCGACCGGTGCGATCCCCGATGTCATGCACACAGGTGTTTTATGCACGCACCCCGGTGCCATCTCCCCGACCGTTGCCATAGTATTGACTAGTGTAGGTACCACGCACGCACACGGTCTTCTGCACACACACGCATATCTGAGCCGGAAAAAATGCGGCGAAATAGCGCATCTGAGGTGGTACCAGTACACTCGGTATGTTTCCCCCTTTCGTTTCGGTCTTCTTCTACGGATACCAGTGTACAGTGGTTTAGGGTTGTGTAAGGTGGGGTAGGGTGCGGCTTGTACGTTGTGTGTTTGGTTGAGTGTACGGTTGGCAACTTCCATACCAATAAAAATATGGAAACAACTGGCGTCCCGCGTGAACCGCGACCATCCAATCGTACGCAAAGGAGTGGCGCTCCGCTGACTCCGTCCCCAAGTGTAGAAGGGACGCACATGTACCTCATTCTGGCAGCCGAAAAGGAGTTCAACCTTGGATTTGGGGGTTGGAGAGACCGCACCGGGTGCGATCTCACCGACCCCGGTGCGTAACTCGAAATAAATATTTTTTCTCGGGTTTTTTATCGCACCCCGGTGCCATCTCTCCGACCGGAGAGATGTGCCAACTCTCCGACTCTTACGGTATATTGTTGCGTGTTCCCCTTGGCCAAAACATGTAAGGTACGACACCGAAAAGCGAGGCGGGCCACTCACTGGTCCCCATCTAGTATGCATAGCTCCCCTCGTTTAGTGTGTAGACACGATAAATTGCGCTGCTGTGTCATGTATCCACCACTAATTCCGACTCAGGCTTGCTTTATATACTTGGGCGAATGCTATCGGGCGCTGGAGCGACGGGACCTCGACCCGCCGCGATCTCTAGCGCTTGATGTTCTCCCCATGAGAGCGCCTTCGTCGTCGTCGCTGTTTCTACTCCCATCGGAAGACAGAATATATCTACTGTCAGACGAGCGCCTCTGAGAGTATGGCCGCCTTCGGTCGTGGTCCCGCTTGCCGTCGTCACGGTATCCTTCCGTCCGCAACGACGAATCCCCTCTTGATTTTCTATGCCTGCTACCTCCGTCCCCGCTGCTGTGTTTACGGCGAGACCGGTATCGATCGTCGTCGTCGTCGCGATGTCGACGAGACCCCGTGCCGTCCTGTCGCCTAGATGAACCGCTAGATCTCCGGCGTTCGCAGCCGTAACCATCGCTTCGGGGATCGTCTGAGCCACAGGTGTTGTCGTCGGTAAAGTCGTTGAGCCTCTCGAGAGCGGTTTTTCCGCGCTGCTGCCGGGATGCACGCCCCGACCTTGAATGGTCTCGTGCACCACCGTCGTCGTCGTCTCTCCTCCGCCCTTGCGACCCTGCCGACGCCGTGCTAGATTTGGACGACCGTCTTTTCCCAGACGAAGGTTCTTTGACCTTGCGAGACAACGACGACCTCCTAGTTGTTGCTTCTGTTGCCTCTTCCTCCTCTATCCCACCACGCTTCCCTCGAAGGTGTTGGTTGTCCACGTTCTCGTCGTCCTTTCTCCGCTCCTTTCTCTCTGGTCGTAGATTATCGTCCTCGAGTGCTGCCGCCGTTGTGGCCGTAATCGGCGTGCCGCCTTCGTCTCTCAGCGAGTATGATGTTCCGCCGTCGCCGTCCTCCTCGTCGGAATGCACATAAGACTCGTAGGGTTCGTCCGGCTTGTACCAGCGGCTTTCCCCGGTGGGTACGTGGTGGTAATAGTAGCAGTCGTGGCCTGGATCGTAGCCCTCAATCCAAGCCAGTTCCGTGGTGGGATCTGCGGGGGCGGTTTCATTCTCGGCCCCGTCGAGCTTTACATCACGTTCATTACTGGTTTTTGTGTTGGCATCTCCTCCTGTGTTCACTTCTTCCTCAGCGTTTTCCTCCGCCTCACCGCACGTTGTCGTCGCGGCTTCGTCACTGCGACCCGAATCGGGTTTAGCTTTTTCGGACGAGTTTCCGAGGGTTGATTCATTTCCTGCCGTTGCCACTTCAACAGAACCTTTAGCCTTGTCATCTTTCTCGTTCCCAGCTACATGTAGATCCGACCGGATTGGTGTTGAAACATCTGACACGGGGTGGCTGAGGATCTGTTCGCTGTCGTTGTCGTGTTTGGTGGTCCCTTGTGCCACCTCTCCAGATTCATCTAATGTCGAGCCACGTAGTTCACCACCATTCTCGTCGATTATTGCATCAGACGCGATCGTGCTTGGACACACCACCGCTGGTGTTGCGGCTGACGACACAGCAGTGCAGTCCACGCCCGACCCAACAGCGTCAGTCGATGGTACGGTGCCGGTATCGCTCTCCGCTTCAATGTGGCTCGTTTGATGTTCTGAGGTAGGGCTGAAGCCCGCACCAGCTGCTGTCGGGGTGTCAATCGCACTGACGTCAACTTCAACACGATACACGTCACCAGAGATGCCCGCAGGAGTGCCAGAAGATACACTGCCGTCCTTGTCGAATATCACGATGCTCCCCGCCTCGGCTGTAGCCAATGGATTTGCCAACTGAGTAGCAGGGCTTGCCGACGGCACGTCTGGCTGTCGACTGGCATTGCTTGAAACACCCAGTTCGTTCTTGTCGTTTCCTTCTGTCCCGCCTTCTCCTTCCCATCGTGTTGCGGGTCGCGTCGTCATTGGCCTGCCATCGACGCTACCACCTTCTTCCCGTGTACGCGAATTCTCCACACCCTCTTCTTGTTTGGCGACACCAACAATTTCGATATCTTCGCCCCCATCCCCACCAGCAGCTACCTCGCCGTCGCACCCTTCCTCGCCGCCGTCTTCCTGCGCCAAGATGATATCTCGCTCGCGTTGTAGACCCTCGGTTGTTGGTAGTCGACGTACGGTCTTGCTCTCGCTGTCATTGTTGTCGGTTCCACTACCTCCGCCACTGCTGCAACAGCTGGAGTCGTCGTCGCTTCCAGAACGGGGCGAAGCCGTGGCCCTTACGTGGCGCAACAGCCGTTCTCGGGCAGAAAGGTTGGCGGTCGAAGTTGCTGACGTCACTGGCGTAGCCGATAACCCCTCGCCTCCCTCTTCCTTCCTCTTCCCTGGTACTTCGGCCACCTCGGCAACTTCGGCTGTGGCATCCGCATCGTCGCCGTTATCAGTACGTAGCACAGAGGTGCCGTTCGGTTTCAGGGAGGAGTCGCTTGGTGTTCCATCAATGGTTACTCGTGGTGTTGATGTTGATGTCTCATCAGCGGAGACAACCGCGGGGCTTGTCGAGATCAATGGATTTCCCCCTGCGTAGTCTCCCAGATCTTGGCTAGCTTCTCTTCCTTCGTTCTTCTCCTTGTTCGCAGAGGTGCACTTCGGATGAACGAAACCCACCGCCGAGGCTATTTCGGATACACCGGCTGAAATACTGCTTTGATCAACTATGCCGGCAACGACAACACTGTCCTGATTGCTTGGCAGCAGCGAGGATGAATCCTTCCCCTGTGTTATTCCCACTACCATGGTTACGAGAGCTTCTTCCGTGACGACCTCCTCGGCAGGTCTTAGAGGCTCACAGGTGATCGATTGGAACGTGCCAGGCACGTCCTTAGAAGCGGCATCAATGGCGCCGCCTGTACAACGCGCCGAAGCTTCCGGACCAAGCCCAAGCGGGACGATGACGTCGTTGGCATCAGTTTCATGGACGGACTCGGCACCGCCACACGGTGGTACAACTATTCCCTCCGTTCCAGTAGTCATCACCCTCTCCTCAGAGCCAGATACGTCGTTTAGGTCTTGAGAGGTCGGGCCTTCGCGCGCAGCTGTGGTGGCGGTGGCGTACAGGCTGGAGGAAGAAGGCAAAGCGACGCCGCCCCCGGGGTTGCCGGAGGCTCTTCCCTCTGGTTCGCCTTGTTCTGGGAGGCTTCTATGGCAATTGGCGTTTTCGCCCTGTTGAACCACGGCAGCAGAGGTCGTCGGCTCTCTCTTTGTTTCCGGGCTGCTGGTGTCAGCGTTGGGGTGGCCACCGACACCGATCATAATTTCTCTCTGAAGTCGGATGAACTTGGCGTATTGGTCGAGTTCCGCTTTGCCGTCTTCGCCGGGCTCCACGCTTTCCATGAGCCGCAACAGGTTCTTCACCGCCGCCTTCGTCATGGCCACCCTACCAGAAAGAACACCAAAAAACAACACACAGAGTTAACTCTTTTAGCTTCTGCATCTGAGGACGTTGCAGGGATGGTTGCGGATAAGCGAGGGATACATACCTTGACTGTCCTAGTCTAAGAGATCGGACAAAAACAAGCGACAACGAATGAGCGGGTGAACCTAATGCACGTATTTTTCAGTTTTCAGAACATCGTCGTGCTTCATCTCTCGAGCGGTTGAATGACAAGGCGAGTCATATGCTGCAAGCCTGGCCAGGCTACAAAGCTGACAAAGTTGATACAAGGCACGCGGAATGGAAGCGTGCTCACCAATGCCTACCACCTGGACAAGCGTTAGATGGGCACACCCACGAAGAGAACCTCTGACGTCCACGCTGCACCCGAAACTGCCAACACCCTAGTTCGCGTTAACGGTTAACAACCAAAGATCGCGGTCAATGAAACGTGCTACACTTACTGTCTTGCGGCTGCCGCGACCTTGTGCGCGAGAACGCCGGCCTCGTCTCCAACAAACTCTGTCGGCGTCGGCCCGTGCTGCGGAGAGAACAGCCCCATCCCCTCCAGCGCGGTACGGAAGCTGGACAGTCGCCGTCGCTCGCCGTCGGTGTCGCCGCCACGCTCTTTGCACATCCTGAGGAGAACCTGAGTGTATTGACGAATGTTTTGCAAAGAAGGACAGAGCGGGTTTTCAAGAACGAGCCTTGGAAGGTACTCCACGTCTGTTTCCGTTGACGATAATGAGGTGCTTTACGTAGTGTTTTAGTCTTTGGGAAATAGGAGTACAAGTTTGTTCGTGCTGTGGTCACCCTTACTTAGCTGCGTGACCCAGCGTTGGGATTTGAGCGGTGTCAACGGTCCACTCGCTGGCACAACGTAAGAAACACGAACTTACCTGCAACGCAGTCCCTGCCGTCTCCGTCTCAAGCTTGACGTCCAGTAGCCAGCTGTCCACCAGCTCGTTTCTCTCGTGTCCTGCCCCCCCGGACGATTCAGCTGAAGCCCCCTCAATGTCTTCCGGAGCCTTCTTTGCGCGCACCGTGGTTCTGGCAGTTGCTGCGCCGTCGCTGTCAACAGTCATCATTACCGGCACTGATGGCGTGGGACTGTCGTGTCCTTCTACGGCGCCGACCGAGGACCTCTTGGAACTTCGACCGCGAGATGATGGTAGCAAATATGAAGGCGGTGGTGCATCACTACCACTGTTCTGATACGCCTGCTGCAACGACTCGTCGTTGTCCTGGAGGGGAGGGTCGGTCGTCGTCCATTCTTGGCGGCCAAGAACATCTCGAACGCTAACCGCTCCGTTTTCTCTCGCCGCTCCGTGGGGGGACTGGATGTATTCCTCCCGACGATCCATACCGCCGCCACAACCGCCTCCAACACCTTTGCCACGCAGCTCATATCCGTCCGCAGCAACGTCGAACAGGCGTCCGTGCTGCTGATGGCCTTTGCTCCGGGGCGGCGACGGTGGTGTGTTCGCCGTGTCCATGCCGGCTGATGCCGCGTACGCAGCATCGCTTGCATGCGTCCCCCTTTCTCTCTCGCCCCTGTAGCTGATCCCGAAAACAACGGCAGGCCGGCGGCATGCTACTTCCTTGGCCTTACTGATGGCCTCCTCGCTTGGGCACTTGCGGGGGCGCGGGCGGGCAAGCTCTTCCGCCTGCCGCCTTTGCTGCGCAGCCTAAGGTCAGGCGCAGAGAAATGGGTTGGGGAGAGAGACAGAGTGGGGCGGGGTGTAGGAAAAATATATTAGTCATCAAGCATTCGTGAAGTATACGTTGCTGCGGTACTTCAAGAGTTGGGAGGAAATGCTCGTAGTGGAGCTTCTCTGCTGGTAGAAGGCGTCTGTTGCCTGAAAACGGGTTATTCATTACTTCTACAATATTTTTTTGTCAAAATTCTTAATTTGGAACAGATGAGGGCATGTTTGACCCTGCCCCGGCCGTCGGGCACAAACAATAAATAATGAACCGTTCCAAACACCTGGCTCACCCACGAGCTTGCTCACATTGATTGCCTGTCGCACATCATGTCGGCCTTCCAATGCTTGCCCCTTGGCCTCTTCCTCGCGCCGCGCTTGGCCCTTTCGCCATTCCATCACCTGGGATTCAGTCGGGTGGGACAGGGTTGTAGTGCTAGCATACTCTGCAACGCAAGGTGGTGTTGGCGAGAACATACACGTTCCTCCGTCAGGCGCGTTTTGGTTTTGGTTTTGGTTTTGGTTTTGGTTATTTTCATATTTTCAGTCTTAGGGACCCAACATCACGACACTTCTGCTTCAAGTAATTTCCTTGTTTCACTTAAAATCTACACTACACTTTACACCAAGGTCGAAAACACCACCCATGAACAAGAAATTCACCTGCTGCCATTCCTTGGATCGTCTCGTGTCTTGTTCTGCCTGCCATTCTCTAGAAGCGCTGGTGTTACCGCTTCTCCCGCGCTGATGCCCCCTCGCCGCGGCCGCATGTCCGGCTGCCGCTACTGTGCTGCTGCAACCATCGCCTCCCTCCTCCTCGTCCGCTGAACCACCACCGGCTTCCCACCGTCGTTGGTCTGAGTCGGAGCTGGGCGGCATGGCCCGGCTGTCGATGGAGCGAACGTGCGGCAGCAGGCACGTCAGGGTCGGCCGATACCGAGGATGTCTCGCGAGGGGGTTGCCCTCGAGCCAGAGCAGCTTGAGAGAGCGGTTGAAGCTGAGCGCGCGCGCGGAGGCCGCCTTGGAAATGAAGTTGTGGCCCAGGTCGAGCTGAAGCAAGAGGGACAGGTGTTCGAGCCCTTGGACGCGCTGTTTTTTTCGCATGCGTCACAAGGGGAATGGGGAGGAGGTGCGTGGTATGTTTTGGGACGAGAGGTTGGAATCAGGATGTGGGAAAAGCAATTAACGAAACTTCCAATCCTTCGGTGTGCTAAAGGTTTCGTTCACGACCGGGAGTGAGTACAGAGAAATATGCAGGTGTGGTGCGCGTCAGGCTTGAATCTGCGGTTCAAACTGTTCGCGACTTTACGATCCTTTGCAATGCCCGCCCACTCGCGCACCTCCTCCCATTGATCATTGCAGAAGGGCCGGGCGAAGAACTCGTAGAAAGCAATGTACGGTAGACGCAGACTTAGAGCGGCACAAAGTGAGAGAGGGACAAACAGGAACCCCAATCCAACCGATCGCCCACGCACGAGACGAAAACCACGCACGAACCTACAGTACCTTGATACGATTGTGTCGGAGGTCCAAAGCGCGCAACAGGAAACACTGTGCGATCCCGCCAATCCGCGATATCCGGTTGTGGCTCATGTTGAGGGTTTCCAGCCGTGGAGGCAGGTCTCGCCCGTCCATCGGCTCCATCCGGCAGAGAAGATTGTGGCTGACGTCGAGGTGCCGGAGCGCCGGCATGGTCGTCAAGACGGAAATGTCCAGCACCTGAAAACGACGGGAGGAGCGCCGGTGGTTACAGGTCGCTGAGTCTTAGCCCACTTGCGCATGCATGATGCGAACCGCAAATATATTTCGCGTGAACTTCGACGGGGTGGGTTCCTTCTTTTTACCCGTTGTCGAGATCTTGGTTGTAATCACACCATGTTCGAAGTGGTACGCAACAAGCTACTGCTGTTCTTTATTAACCATGCAAATTCTCAGGAGCTGTGCCGAGCCGACCTGTGTATCTGGGTAGACTTTGAAACACGGTTGTTCTTGAATGGGGGAGCTAGGGTAGTCGCTCCCAACGAGCCTATATAGGCTGGTGGGGGGGGGGTTCCATGCTCACGTGCCTTGTCCGACCAGCAGTTGTTTTTCGCATCAAGATTTGATTTTTCGCTGTACTCTGAACGACAGGTGTTTGTCCAATGCTATTTGACGGCGGGCAAGAGTCCACTATTTGGAAACGAACTAGAACGAAGTAGTTATCTCACCTGGAGCTGGTTGTAGCTGAGAACCAGTGTGTGTAGACCAATGAGAGATTCTCGTCCATATCCGTAAACGGCCTCCAGCTGTAGCACGGTAGACATCTTGGAAAGTCCGGTACGAGTTATGACAAGAGCCCCCTCGTTGATTCGTAGCTGTACGACACGCAAGGTGAGGTGTCCCGTAAGTGTCAACACCGATGAAACTCGAACATCAAGTAATAAATATGGGCCATATGGTCAAGTCAATATCAACAGTGTGAATGGCGATTGCCGATTGCCCCCACAAGACACTCAGGTTCGAGCTTTGAGCTCAGAAGTTGGTTGGTGGACTATTTCGTCGTCGGTGTGAACATCAACCTCGAACAGATCATCATGTACGACGCTCCATAAATGCCTGCAATGTGTCACAACGATTCCGACCGCACGTGTACCTACGCGCCAACACTCACCCCGAGCTGCTCTTCATCTAGCTGAAGGGCCCCAGCCGGCGAAGATAGCATGCCGTCGGTCTCCCTGCCCTCGCCCCCCCCTGCCTTTCCTTTCGTCTCCGACCCCATTTCCGCGGCCCGCCGTAGCACTGGCTCAGAATCAGCCCTCAAGACCTGACCTTCAAACAAAGACGTGGAACCCCCGGCGCTATACAGGGGGGCGGTCTTTGTTTCGCTGGAGGGGAGGTGGAACCGTGAAGATGGCGATGGTGAAGAGCAGTAACTCCCCCCGCCGCCGCCGTCCTGGATGAGCAACCCGCAAGAACGTGAACGTTCGGGTGACATTCCTCCGTGAGAGGAAGAGGGTGGCGTCGGCATTCCCCCCGACGATGGCAGTCGGGGGTGCTCGGCATTGGCAAAAAATTGTGGACTTCCCCCTGCGGCACCCCCTCCTCCTTCACTGTGGCCGCTGAGTGCAGCGAATCCACTCTCTGAAACGGAACAGTTTTGCGCCGCTGGGTTGACCGCGTTGGCTGTTGCAGCGGCGTTGATGTCCCCCAAACGCTGAATTCGAGCGGCAAGGCTTTCTCTCTCCCTGCAGCTGGAGCCAGCCGTTGCAGCCGCACCGGAACCGCCGCGAGCTTGACGCACCACGTTCGTGGGAGAAAGACAGTACGGCATGCGTATGGGGCCGCTATTTCCACCGCCACTACCGCTGTAGTCTAGAGCAAGAGTGGAGGCCCCGGCAGCAGCGACCGCAGGTGCATCACCGCCATCGCCGCCGCCTCCTGAGCCGGGCGCTTCGACGATGGCCTCCAGAGACAATCCCGCAGGCCTGCCCACTCGATCGTTCTCGAGGACACCACCCGCCCCACCTGGAGTGCGAGCGCCGGTAGAATTCACCGACGATGCGTGCAGCAGCGTTGTTGCCACCCCCTGCGGCGCCGAGACGCGCTTGGGGTCGGCGATCGACACGCTATCCCTTACCACGCCGCCGCGGACTTGGCTCTCGGCGGCGGCGTTCGAATTTGCTGCTGCGCCTGGTGATGTTCCACCGCATCTGCTTTCGCCTAGAGAAGTGTTCGGTTCTGCAGTTTCGGCAGACATCGCAACGAGACGATTCCCCCCTGAAAACTCTAATGACGGCGTCGGAACGACCAGCGGATCACCCGCATCCTCCGCCCGCCGACGCTGCTCGCACAAGGTAGCCGTGGTAGGTCCTACTTCCTCCTCGTGCTGCTCCTGTTTCTTCGCCGTTACCGCTTCCGTGCTGGTCACTACTCCCGTCGCTGCCGTCGCAGGTACGGCTGACATCGATGACAAAGCAGCCGGCCTAGCGCCGATAGTGACCGTCTCGGAAGTCTCAACGAGGCTTGGGGTAGCTTCTTCTCCCAGGGTGGCGTCCCTCTCTTCCCGGTAACCGTTGCTTGCTGCCTCTGCCTTCATCGGTACCCCCGACGTGCCAGTCTCACCGTCGACGATGACGACGCCTCTGGGATGGGGGTCTCGATCAGAGGCCTTGAGAAGAACTCGACCGGCCGGCATGCCGCTTCCTCCTCCGTTAGTTGTGGTCAATGGCGACGCTTGTGCTAGCCGTGAACGTGTAGCCGGTTCTTCTCCCGGGGGCTCAGCCCTAGACGACGCCGCGCTCGACGTGGCCGCCTCCTTGTGTGGTTCAGTCATGCCGATGACGGTGACGTTGCCTTCTTCCGATATGAGGTTTGTCCTCACTCCCCCCGTTTGATGCGCCCTAACGGCGTTCGAGCGCGACGCTGTTGCTGGTTCCGTAACGACGGCATCCCCTCTTCCTGGGACGGACGCCGTTTGGGGAGTGGATGGGGGGGTCTCATCCCCGAAGTTCCGACGAACTCCGTCATCGCGGCCTTGGTTTCCCTTAAGAATAGAATGCCGTCGGCCGGGATTCGTGTGGGTCGAGGCACCAGACCCCGCTGGCTCCAGCGCGCTATCATCTCCTGAATGAGAAGACCGCGACGCATCGCTAACCCGCCGGTCTCCACTCGCTCGATCCTCCGAGAAACACACGCTTCTGCCACCGCCGCCGCTGCTGCTGCCGCTGGCGCTACGGTCGTCAAATCTTGGACCTCCTTGCGCGGCCGGGTTAGAGCTGTGGCGTCTCCAATTCGATGTTTTTTCAGTGTTGGACTTGGGGTCGCCGCCGCCGCCCCCGCCGCCGGTTTCTTCTCTTGAGAAATTTGGATGCTCGGTTCGAAGTCGTCCGCCGTTCTGGTTCACCGTCCCTTTCCCGGTACTCTGCGCGCGCGCGGAGGTACAAGACAAGTCATCGTCGCTGCTGCAGTCAGAGAGGACGTCATCTTCGGTGTCGCCACCGCCATCGCTGTTCAAGAAGCGACTCCCCGCCAGACGAGCCGCGCTGCTCATCAATTCACTGTTCTCGTGGGCGACGAGAGCGACTCCCTCCTTCTGCCGTCTCTGTCGCGCCGGTTCTTGGTGCCTTTCTTCTTTCTCCTCTCGCGCGTCGGTTGCAAGGCTGCTGGTGCTGCTTCGGGCCCCTCGGTTGCTCCTCTCCCTGCCGTTGCCACTGTTTCTAGTGGAGGTCCGGCTCGTCTCTCTTACGCGCCTCGGTGCTGCTGCGTCTTCAGCCCCGTCGTTCTTGTCAACCTCGTCGCAATTATCGTCGTCGAAAATGTTCTCCAGGTCGGCATCGCCCCTCTGCGCTCTTTGGCTCTGTCCTTCGTCGTCGTTCTGCGTATTGCTCAGCTCGGATCCACCCTCTCCTCCGCGCCACGGCGGCAGGGAGAGCACATGCGTCCCCATCCCCGCCCCCGGCGAAAGTTTCTGAGAGGCCGACAAAGGGCTTCGCTTGTTCCCGACGCCGCCCCCACCGACCTTGTCGCCGCGAATGCCACCGGTCGTGGCCCCGAAGGAGCGAGTGCTCCAAGGAGAAAAACACTCCAGGCTCTCCTTTCGTGGTGGTTGTGATGATTTAAAGTCCGCAAGATACCAAGGATTGCGGAGAGAGGCCAGGGTTGACATGACGATGGAGATGCGGAAGATGAGGTCGAGGTCAAGCATTTGGAAGCACAACAGCAGCCCAGTTGCACACTTTACCCTACGTGATGTGGACCGTTTGGTGTCGCCCCAACTGGGCGTGCCACTACCCTATTGATAAGAACCTCCCAAAAGGTCACGAGTTCTGTCTCTTGCTGCCGCGCAAGCTATTGGAAGTTTAGGCTTTCATAGGGGATCGAGTGCAGCGTTCTGGTGTTTGCTGCGGTGCTTCAACATTATTTTCTTCTTTCCTCCCGACCATTGTTTCAACGTGAGGCATTTGCTTGTGTTAAGCAGCAGCCTCCACTCGCTTTCCAACAATTCCCGAGACACACTTGAACAACCGGGAGTGGATTGGCTGGAAAACATCATTGCTCGCATTTTTGGAAAACGTCGCCCGTTCTTTATTCGCACTCCTAGAACCGCACCGGCCGTTAAAAATAAGGGTACAAGCATTTCGGATCGGAGCCCGTGGGTTGAGAAGAACAACGTCACACGGAATGAACCTTGTAGAAAATGCACGGCGGCAGCTGCTTGAACGGGAGTACTACCGGGGCTCAATCACCTGGCCCTCTTTGTCGCCCGCCGATCCGAAAAGCAGGTCGTCTCGCCTCTGAGGCAGCACCGGCAGCGTGTGTGACTCTCGCAGCCTCCCCACCATGGCCGCCTCGAACCCTCCCAAATTAATAACGTTCGGGTCGTTCCCTACAGTACAGGTCGATGGCCGCGAGACAAGCAGTGGACCAAAAGAAGCAAAAGAAGAAGAAGAAGAAACAGGAGGGTCATCCGGGGCGATGGACGTACAGAAATGAGCAAGCTATCAGGTTGTTGTGGCTCTCTCACCGCAGATAGAGGGTGTACAGAAGTGACAAGGGGGGGAAGGGGGGGGGGAGAGGGCAAGCCCAACACACTGAACCACTACACCGCAACCGTTTGCATGGCTTGACGACCGATCGCCTTCGAAGTAGGTAGGTTATTGTCGCAACGCTCTACCACTTTCCCAATCTAATAAATGACGTGTCTATGAATCTCTTCACTGTTGAAATTCACCGCAGAGCTTACCCTGGGCTCCCGGAGCGCCGAAGAACCGCAGCACGCGCGAAGTCTCTGCGGCCTTCGGCGTCACGCCCATGACGATCCGCATGGCGCCGCTCAGCTCGTGCTCCGTCAGGGTTCCCGACCCTCTTACATCGGCCTGGCAGGAAAAGGGGAGCACCAAGTATGGCAATCACTCTAGCTTGTACGCACTTAGTTCGTCTGCGTGTATACGTGCGGTATACGTGCGGTACACAACCCAAAGAGGAATACCCTCAACCGTCTCTTCCGGAAGCTGAAGAAATCAAGCGAGGAGAAAAACTAAGGCAGAGGGAGACGGCGGCGGGCATGACACCCCCGAGAAGGTCAGTAGTGGTCGGTGGTGCAAGAGATATCACAGCAAAAAGCATACTTAGAGTTACAGGCCTGCATGTTTTGTGGTTTCAAGGTACGGAAGGCAAGGGGCGCACCTGGAAGAAAGCGTGCCTGACGTCGAGCACTGAGTCGGCGACCTCCAGCGCGGCTGTCTGAGCCTCCAGCTCCTCTGTCGCTCTCCGGTCAAGCGACAGCACCGTTGCGTCCAGCTTCACGGAGTACAAGAAGCTCAGGCTGGAGTCGGCCAAGCTGGTTGATGATTCGGAGTGCGGCAGATATTCAAGCACGTGTTGAGAAGTTGTTGCTGTTGCATTGTTTTTATAGGATGGTTTGGTGTTTGGTTGAGATGTTGCTTATTTTTTTAGGCGATGGTGGGAACGCATGACAGGTCGGTCGATCTACCCACGCGTCGCAGCTGTTTAACGAGTACCGCAAGCTCTGCTGGCGAGACAGTCGGCCGGTGCTGAACTGCGCATGGAACCGCTTGACCTCGTTGCGTGCTTCGTTTTTGGAGCAACGGGTCTACGTAGGGTGAGTATCGTTGAAGGTACAGGTGCTATTGGAAGACAGCAAACGGGGCGCGAGTGGGCAATGCATTCCCACCTCGCAGTCCGATCAATAGAGTATCTATCCAGAGTACATCGAGGAGTTTCCTGAATCTGAAAAAACGAATCTCCCGGTGACCGCCAAACGACGAGAGGACATTGCACGGTATCTCAAAATGCTTCCAGCAATAACGTTCCGAGCAATTCAGTTGAGGGTTGGGGGGGGGCGAACTCGCCGAAGCCTTTCGGTGGTGTTTGATGGGTGCTCTCTGACCTGGCATCGGCTTGCACCAGTCGGAACAACTCCACCTGGCCTTTGAGGAGCGAGTTGAGGGCGTTGAGCGCCTGGATTATTGAGTGAAACGGGGGGCAGGAGTGTGATGGGAAGGAGGTAAAGATGGAGACCAGATTAACTCCTTTCAAACACCGTTGATGTCTGTGACATGGTCTACTCGAATGCACCTAGCTAGGCCGATATGGGATCTGAGGCAGGCGTGCCAACTCATTCATGTTTGCCGCGAGGATTCTGATTTTCTACGAAGTACTCGGGGGGCGTACACAAAGTAAACTTCCGTTGAATTCACGACGAAACTACCACGTAAGGAGGAATGCCAGGTTTCGATGAATCTGGCAGTGCACAGGTTGAGATCCCCCACCTGTATGGTAACGGCTTCGTTACCCCGAAGGTCGAGCTTGCGCACAACTGGAAGCTCCTGCAGTGCCTGTGCTAGAGCCTCCACCTGTCCGACACAGCATCCCCCCCCGTTTCAGTCTCGGCAGTTGCGGGAGTGCTAACGAACATAATGAGTTCCATGCGCTCAAGAAGTTTGCTACGCGACGAAGGACTGTTGCCGTACAGTTAGTCTAGTTGAGACATATGTTGTCTCCGAGGACAAATAATAGACAGCGACTCGTGTTCATATGTAGCACAGACAATTGTCTCCATATCAGGCAAATTGTCCCTAAGTCAGCCGCTCGATTTGTCAACGAATGGGTTGCCCCATATGCCCCAAGCTGCTACATTGACGAGGTCATCGGTGAGAAATACGTTCGTCTCTCCATCATTACGGGTACCGTCGAGTATTTTTGTCTTACGTACATCAGTGCTGGGTCTGTTGCTCGTTTCTCACATGTGCATCTGTCAAGTGGGTCCGTCGCAGATCTAACTTGTATAGTCGCTTCCCGCCGTCTCGCTGCTCCGACCCCCGCTGCAGCTCCCGCAGAAGTTTGCTGGGCACCGGTACCCCCCTCTCCTGGATTTTGGATACCACGAGCTCCTGCGCAGAATGTTCATGCCAACTTTCAGACCAAAGGAGAAACTTTTAATAACGTCGGTGACTACACAGTATAGGTATGTATGCATAAAGTATGTTTCTCTCTCTCTGTGCTTGCGTGAGACGCAAGCACGATTGTCTCTTTGGCCTACAGTACCCTTACTTCAGATAGCACGAAATATCCACGGGACACACGCCATGCGGCGAAGCAAATTTTTCCACGCGCACGGATAAATGTTTTTGTTAGGCTTCTTTTGGGTACTGTTCGTCTTGTGCGTACGACGAGGGTGGTAGACTAATCGATGGTGGGGGGGGGTGGTATACACCGTCATGTGCCATCAGGCAATTTTTGGCGGCTAGTGCGGTCATGCGTCGTGTAGATGTACTCTCCGGCGCAAAAGTACGTATGCATATATTGGCTCTGTCCATTTGGCGAGCATCCCACCCGAACTTCTGGGATGTATGATGAGAGTCACTCCTCACGTGCACAGCAGTGCAGAAGACTGATACTGAACGTACGTAATACACAAACGCAACACAAACATCCGTAGTGTGTGCTACAGGGAGGAGGATTGCTCATAGGTGTGTGAATGTAGACGTGCAGTCCAGCCCCCCCAAAGCGCGTTGAGCTCACCTGAAATCGCACTGCATCCTCTATAAGTGTCTCGCGCTCTCCCTTCCGCCTTCGAATTTGCGTCTTTCTCCTCAAACGGGTGATGAACATCGTTCATGGGCCGGTAGAAATACCGCAACTGGTCGACGCGGCACGTTGCCGTAGCTAATAGGCAACGGCTCACGAGCGTACAAGCGACCCTGTGGTGCACTCAGGCGTGTTTCGTCGTGAACGGCTGCTTCGGTACATATCGCCTAAGTATTTCCTGTGTGAAGAGTCTCATCTCTTCCACTCTCTCAGAACCTTGCTTGTGCGTTTGATGCGGGGTCCTTTCCTCGATCGACGCTGGATGACACCGAAACCGCCATCTGGCTTGGAAGGCGTTTTTGATGTACCCCCCCCGCCCCCTCCCCGAAAACAAAATGGTTGAAAAAACCGTGCGCGAAAAAAAAAAACATCTCCCGAGCGTTCGACAGGAGCGGATGTTGTGCACTTATAGGAAAGGGTGCACACGGTTAGCAGAGCCGGGGGTGGCCTGTGAGTGTGTGGGTGAAGCGCACTCCTCCCTTTCGCAAGGGCATTGCATGGTGAGAGGTGGCAAGGCCGTGGTTTCGCAGGGCGTCTTCGCTGCTGTTGCGGGCGGAGCAAAGCGAGCTCACCCCTTTAGCACGGCCCGCCGCGAGCCCTACTGCCGCTGCAGCGTCGGAGAGACGCCCGGAACGGCGCCGCAGCACGCCCGCACCGGCAAGCTCCTCTAGCCCCGACCTCTCCACATTCTTCCGCCTTTACGGCTCTTGCAGAGACCTCTCCAGCCTTCTAGGGAGAAGGGTGGAAGCGGAGCTCAGCAAGGAAAAAGAACAGGTCGCCCGCCGCAACAACAACAATCTTCCCCAGCAACAACACTTCTACGCGAAGCCGTTCCCGCTATTTCGAGGCGCAATCATGGGAGCGATACTAACCAGGCCGGAGATAAAGCCCTTCCGGACGATCGACATCCTCCGGGAGGGCGTCATCGGAGGGCAGGAGCAGAGCGCGATGGCCGACAACAGCGTGGTGACCTCCAAGTACAACGTGATCACCTTCGTGCCCAGGTCGCTCTTCGAGCAGTTCCGGCGGATAGCGAACGTCTACTTCCTCGTGATCAGCGTGCTGATGATGCTCGGCTGGTACACCGACCTGTTCGAGAGTCCGCTGGCGCCCTTCTCCACCATCATCCCGCTCATCCTCGTGCTCAGCGTAACCATGGTCAAGGACGGGGCCGAGGACCTCAAGAGACATCGTTCCGACAACCGGGTGAGTGAGAACAGTTGAATGCATGTAAGATGCGTTTCCCGTTGGCGCTACAACAAGCTATCCATGCACTGCAGCAAAAAGGGCTTGTAGTGCTCTGTCTGCTTCCTGGATCAATAATTATGTTGGGCATTTGCTCACCTCGTGAGGGGACGGCACTGCCTTCGGACCCGCGGGGCTGGTGGCTTCCAGGCAGAACAGTAGAGCAGACACACACACACACAAAATAGTTCGTTGGTATTGCGGGTACTGCTGTAATAGCAGTTGTTGTTGACGGTACACAAGCAATAAAGAATTCGCCAGCTGTGGGTGTAGGGAAACGTGCATAATGCCGTACACACATGATTGCAGTATACGTGTTGTTCAAAATGTTGGGCTGCTGCGATCTTTGGATGGAGACGCTTTCATCTGTACCGTATTTGTACATTTTAAAAATATATTGCGGCGCCTCCGCGCGTGGAGTAAGCCTTCCGTGGGTGCGTGATGCCTCCACTCGTTGCGCTGCCTCTATGCATAGCCTACATAAATACCATCGCCATCGGTCACGTGCTCTCGGGTCGATGCCCCTCTCCACTACCGTTTGGCCTTTATGTTGCCCGAGAACCTAGTGCTCTTGAGTCCTTGCTTGTATATAACGCACACTGCTGCTCCAGTTCTTGTTGTACTTTTGAGTCCACTAGAGCCCTGTCCACGAGAGCCCCACATTATCAAGACTGCTCTCTGTGTATGTAACGGAGGAATCTGCTGCTGGTGTGTTCGGGTATCATCCATGCCGCGCGTTGCCACGGAAAATCGAATTCAAATTCAGAAATGAAATTCTATTATCGAAGCATTTCGAGCACACAACTACACCAAAGAACTCGACAGGCTAATTATTGGTCGGAGATGAGGATGTTCATAGCCAGAGGACAAGTATCACTGTTTGCTGTTTTCAAACCTGGCTGCTCTTTGAGCCAGGTAGGCATACGCCAATATGTTTACGGGCTGTTTCCCGTTGGGGAGGTGTGCTGCTGCAGCAGCCAGCATCCGTTGTTTTCAGAAGTATTTTTTGTGGCACTCGCGGATTTACGGCAACATCATCATCATCAGCAGCAGCAGTGCTGACGATAACGACAGCAGCAGAGTTAGGGCAGGCATGTGGGCGGTTGTAGGTATCACCCACGTTCTGCACCAACAGCAACGGCGACACGCGGTGGTACAGAGGGAAGAGAGTGCCTCACTCTTCTCGCATCAAGAATCGAAGGCAAAGCAGTGCCGCAGGAAGGGTGGGCAGGGGGGCTCAGGGAGAGAAACCATTCTGTGTGACCACGGGTTGGAGTAAACGGCACAAGCGCTGTGAGCGCTGCTTTGAAGTGAAGACACACAAAAAAAAAAAGAATGAACAGGAGTTGGAGTATCACATCAAATGTTACTAGAAACTCATTCTCACCCATTGAGGATTATGTTGCGCGCCTTTGATGAGCGTTCGTCCCAATAGGGACGACCCCAAACTTGAGTGAGAGCACAGTAATCTACACTCCTTCCTTCCCGCTGTGTCTCGCCGATCGACCAGTCACCAGCCGACCGATGTTACTCGGTTACTTGTGTGTGTGTTTTTGTTTTGTTTTTTCTTAATCGTGACACAACGAATCCATCTCTACCCATAGAAAAGGGTCTGGGATACGTTAGCAATGAACCCACAGCATACGCGAAGCACTACCAGTGTTTCTATGCATGCGATTCCCCAAGCAGCATACAGAGCGATGTATCCCCTGTGGTTTTGAAATCCAATTTCTCTTTGCATGCATGCGTGCGTGGACTGCCGTGTGATTTTGGCCCGGCGGCGGCGGCGGCAACCTGACCCAGGTGAACAACACGGAGGCCACGGCCATGGACATACACACGAGGGGGGGGTTCGTGCCGGTGGCGTGGAAGGACGTCAAGGTTGGCATGTGAGTTAGTGTTCCCGCTCACTCTCCTCACGGTCGCCATTTCGGTTACATTGTGTACAGGGATGAGCTTAGACACCGTTCTATTTCTCCCATATGACCATGCAAACGGTTGTGCGATTTGTGTGATGGAGATGGTCGTGGCCTGAGTAATGTTAACGTTTCTGTGAACAATTATTTTCCTTGTTTTCAAGGTCGCTCCGTGCAACTTGTGTGGTTTCAAAGTGGCTCTGTGCAACGGGTGGCAAATCTGATTTGTTAACTATTATCAGAAAATAGATATGGAATCAAAGAAAGACTGCAAACCCGTTCGAGATGTACCCACAGCAGTGAATGGGAGAGATATGTTTTGTATTTTCAAAGTCGGCTCGTACACAAGACTTGCCCTTCATTTAAATGTCCCCCAGGATCGTGAAGATCGCCGACAAGGAAGAGATCCCCGCGGACGTGGTGCTCCTCTCTTCGTCCGAACCGGGAGGCGTCGCCTACATCGAGACGGCCAACATCGACGGAGAGACCAACCTCAAGATTAGGACCAGTGCGCCCACGCGGCCGGGGCAGCCGCCGGGGCCATTGTGGTCCAGCGCCGAGGAGCTGCACGGCGTCAGGATGGAGGTTCGTGTTGAATGTTGTCATTTTTGTTGATGTTGTTGTTGTTGTTTTTGTTGTCATTGTTGTTGTTGTTGTTGTTGTTGTTTGTGGTGTTTGTTGTTGTTGGTAGTGTTGGTGTTGGTGGATACTGCTGTCGCTGTTTGGTGGTGAGATGTTAACTGCTTTCATGGACTTGTTCTCCGCTTCACTCGCGTTCACAGCTGGAACGCAAACCTCTCAGCGCTAGCTTTCACCTGTTGCCTACCTGTTTGTGAAAATGAGTCGCCCACGATGGATGCTGGTTACGTGGGGGACCTCTAGATAATGTATGCCTCTCGACAACTATGAAAACCACCAGCGCCCCCGTTCGTACTCCTCTTGTCTGCCAGCTGGAGTACGAAGCTCCCAACGCTCGCATTCACTTCTTCACCGGCACCCTAACGCTCCACGGCGGGGCGGGGGGCCCGCAAGATGACTCCGGGGAGGGGGGTGGGGGCGGGACGGGCTCGCGCGACGTTCCCGTGGACCAGAGCAACCTGCTGCTGCGGGGGGCGAGGCTGAGGAACACGAAGTGGGCGATCGGGGTGGTGGCCTACACGGGAAGGGAGTCGAAGATCGCGCAGAACGCTCGATCCGTGCCTTCGAAGCAGAGCAACCTCGACAAGGTGAAAGAAGGACGCCTGTTTTGAGTATGGCTGTTGTGTTGATTAGAGAAGAAATACTCATTTGGTCTTTTTTCCCTAGGAAGGACCCTCGGTCCGTGCCTTCGAAGCAGAGCAAACTCGACAAGGTGAAGAAACACGCCTGTTTGTGTGAGGCTACTTTGGTTGGTCTCTCTATACTGTACGTCCGTGAATAACACGTGCAAAACGCGTAATAGTGCTTACCCCGCCTCTCACCATCCCTTTTACCGCACCTGCTCATTTGGCCAACCTTGTCTAGTGTACCCGCTTTTTTTTGTTTAAATAGCTCGAAGGCGACGAACAAGATCATGTCCGTGATCTTTCCGTGCGAATACTCTCTTTTTACTATTTTATTGTACAGTGGGGGGGCCTCTGTAGTGCCGGTATGGACCAGACCGTTACGAGTATACCGGCACTAATCAGAGGGACCGGCACTATTCAAAGTACTGAGTGACTTTGGTGATTCCGTCTATGCCCGCCCAAAACAGCTGCACTATACCGGGCGTCGGCACTATTCAACCGGCGCTTCTGAGGGCCCTTTTCTGTACCCGCTTTTTTTTTCTTTGTTTGTGGGAAGGTGACGAACGAGATCATGTGTTTTTTTTCTCGTATACATATATCCCCTTTTTTGTTTTTGTTTGCTCGAATGGCGACGAACAAGAATCATGTTCGTGATCTTTACGTGCGAATTTTCTCTCTCTTTTTTTTTTTTTTTGTACCCCCTTACTATTATTTTTTGTTCGATCGAAAGGTGACGAACAAGATTATGTTCGTGATCTTCACATGCTTATTCTCTCTTCTATTTTTATTTTTTGTTGTACCCCTTTTTATGTTTTGTTCGATCGAAAGGTGACGAACAAGATCATGTTCGTCATCTTCACGTGCATGGCCGTCGTGACCACCCTGTCCTTGGTGGGATACTTGGTCTTCGAGGCGGAGAACGATGACAAGCTCTACTACCTCTGCTACGACTCCGACAACAGCCCCGTCCCGCTTTTCCGGTACGGTTTTCATCCCGTTTTGTTTTTTTTGTTTGAAAACGCTGAAACTTCCCTCAAGACTGCTGTCGTGCTTTTTTCCCCGGCGATACTTTTTTGAAAAATAAATATATATTTTTTTGCAGTTTTATCGGCGTGCGTCCGTAGGACTCGCTTTAGCAGAATACTCGACCCTTCCAGTGATCATTAATACGCGTTGTGCAAGGTGTGTGTCCCTCTCGTTGTAGATATGTGGGCTGCTGTAGATGTGTGTGTGGTTTTCGTGGACCCTGTCACTGATCTGCATGGTATTCGTAGATCTGTGTGCTTGTCGTGGATCTTCATGCGTATGGTACATCTGTGCGCTCATCGTAGGTACGTCCAATTGTATGCCTGTTGGTTTGGAAGTTTTCGAAAACCAAGACAGTTTTTTTTCATGTTCATGGTTTTCGTACATGTGTGCGCTTGTCGTAGACCTGCATGCGTTTGGTAAATCTGTGTCCTCGTAGTTGATCAGTGTGTCTGTCGCAGATCTGCATGCTTGGGCGTTATGGGAGTTTTCGAAATCCACGACAGTCTTTGTTCCCAAAAACCGACGTTTTGGGGTTGGAAAGCCTCCTTCTGGATGCGTTATTATTTCTGCTGTTCACCTTTTCCTGGATACCTGCGCGTTCACCCCTGTCATGGCACATTTTCCTTTTCCGCGGTCGGCATATGTATACGTGTGTATGCCAGGGACAACTGCGAGTCCTCCGATTCTTCGAGCAGCGTGGGGCAGTGGTTCACGTTCCTCATCCTGTACAACAACTTCGTCCCGATCAGCTTGTACGTTACCCTTGAGATGGTGAACTTTATACAGGCCGCCTTCATCGACGAAGACATCCTGATGTACGACGAGACCCAGGTGAGAACAGGGCAGGCAAAGTATGAAAAGAGAGAGAGAGAGCATGGTTGTATAGACGGAGACATCCTGATGTGCGACGAGACCCAGGTGAGAACAGGGCAGGCAAAAGAAGAGAGACAGGGAGATCATGGTCGTATGGGAGGAGACATTGTGATGCACGACGAGACCCAGGTAAAGAAAATCAAAGTAAGAGGAGGGCAGGCAAGAGAGAGAGATGGAGAGAGAGCATTGTTTGTTGGATGCTTTGTGGCGGACAACAGCAGTTGGTCTAGCGAAAGCGTTTGGTAATGGATTCGCAACTTGGGGGCAAAGATATGTATCGGGAAAGGGCCATTTCGCTGTTGCGCTAGTGGTTGGTATCTCTCCCCCTTGCAAGCCCTTCGGGCGAGGGCAGGCGTGAAGTGCCTCATTTATTCATGTCCCTTCCACATGCCAAAAGTCCTTTCCTCGGCACCTGCTTTCTGAAGGTTGCACTAGTCAGTGTCGTGAGTGATGGGATGAGGGCAATCAGGATAAGTCACTGTAACACACGGCGGCGATGGAGGAGCCCCCAGCAGTAACTTCACCAGAGTGCGGAGTAATGAGCGGGCTGCCCCGCTTGCTTCTGGCGTTGGCGGCAGGCATTGGGTTCCTTGCTATCCGCTGCCCCTGGCTGCTCGTTGAATTTTCCCCAACTCCGATGGGATGGCGCTCGCGGCTAGTTCCGCCGCCTTGTGTCACACGAGCGTGTGTATACCCGTGCGATTCAGGGCGGCGGAACTAGGCACGGGCACCGTTCCATGGGAGCTAGGTGGAATTCCACGACTGGCCAGGGGCAGCTTATGTAGCCATGGCACCCAAACCCCGCCACCAACGCCTGAAACAAGCGGAACAGCCCGCTTCTGCAGCCGGATCTCAAGGTACCGCCGGAGGTCGCGGCGGAGTAACTTTCGAACCCTACCGGCGCGAGGGTGCGGAGTCATTAGCGGCTGCCCTGCCTGTTTCTGATGTTGGCTGCAGAATTTGGGTGCCTTCCAATCCGCTGACCCCCGCCGGTTGTTGAATTTTTCCCAGCTCCGATGGGATGGCGGTGGGTGGCTAGTTCCGCCGCCTTGTGTCGCACGAGCGTGCGTGTACCCGTGCGACTCGAAGCGGCAGAACTAGGCACGAGCGCCCTTCCACCGGAACGGGACAGAATTCCGCGAGCGGCCACGGACAGCGGGTGTAGCCATGGCACCCAAACCCCATGGCCAACGGCGGAAACATGCGGGCCAGCCACATCATGACCCCGCGCTCTGGCGGTGTAGTGCTGGGTCCCCCTCTGGCGCTACCTCCGTTTGTAGCTCTGGATACTTGTCCATCGCTATTCGCGGCGGGGTTGAGGTGCCTCGGCTGTCCGCTATCCGCTGAGCCTGGCCGCTCGTGGAGTTCTTCCCAGCCCCGACGGGATGGCGCTCGTGACTAGGTCCGCCGCCTTGTATCACACGAGCGTGTGTATACCCGTGCGACTCAAGGCGGCGGAACTAGTCACGAGCGCCCTTCCGTCGGAGCTGGGCAAAATTTCACGAGCGGCCAGGGGCAGCGGCATGGAGTTCAGATGTAGGAGTGGGCCTGCCCCGCTTGTTTCCGCTGTCGGTGGTGGGGTTTGGTTTCCTTGGGCTATCCGCTACCCCTAGCTTCTGGTGGAGTTCTTCCCAGCTCCGACGGAATGGCGCTCGTGACTAGGTCCGCCGTCTTGTATCACACGAGCGTGTGTATACCCGTGCGACTCAAGGCGGCGGAACTAGTCACGGGCGCCCTTCCGTCGGGGCTAGACAGAATTCAACGAGCGGCCAGGGGCAGCCGAAAGGAGTTCATATGTAGGAGTGGGCCCTGCCCGCTTGTTTCCGATGTTGATGGTGGGGTTTGGGTGCCTTGGCTATCCGCTGCCCCTGGCTTCTGGTGGATTTCTCCCTAGCTCCGACGGAATGGCGCTCGTGGTTAGTTCGGCCGTCTTGTATCGCACGAGCGTTTGTAAACGCTCGTGCGACTCAAGGCGGCGGAACTAGTCACGAGCGCCCTTCCATCGGAGCTAGGTAGAAATTCACGAGCGGCCACGGACAGCATATATTGTTAAGGCACCCTAACCCCACCGCCCAGGACGGAAACATGGGGGCCATCCCGCTCATGACTTCGTGCTGTGGATACTCCGTCGGTTGATCTGGATACTTCTCCATCGCCATCGCGGTGGGGTTAAGAGTGCCTCGGCTGTCCGCTGTCCGCTGTCCCTTGCCGGTCGCGGAGTTCTTCCAAGCTCCGACGGGATGGCGATCGTGACTAGGTCCGCCGCCTTGTATCACACGAGCGTGGGTACACCCGTGCGACTCAAGGCGGCGGAACTAGCCACGAGCGTCCTTCCGTCGGAGCTGGGTAGAATTTCACGAGCGGCCAGGGGCAGCGGAATGAAGTCCAGCTGTAAGAGTTGGCTCTGCTCCGCTTGTTTCTGATGTTGGTGGTGGGGTTTGGCATGCCTTCGCCGCCCGCTGCCCCCCTGGCTTCTGGTGGAATTCTACCCAGCTCCGACGGAATGGCGCTCGTGGCTAGGTCCCCGCCGCCTTGTATCACACGAGCGTGTATGTCCGTGCGACTCAAGGCGGCAGAACTAGCCACGGGCACCCTTCCATCGGAGCTCGTCAGAATGCCACGAGCGGCCACGGGCAGTGAATGAAGTCAAGGCACCCGAATCCCACCGCTATCATCGGAGACAAGCAGGACAACCAGCTGATGCAGCGGGATCTCAAGGCTCCGCACCCTAGCGGCGGTAGTACTTGGGGCAC